GACCGAGAACAAACAACACAACAGCTCGTCTGATTTTTGATTATTTAGACTAACATAGTGGAAGCACATTAGACAATGGAATTCTTCTGATCATTCCTTCAAATTTCATGTGTAGCCATTCATTGTTAATAAGTCCTCTTTCCCTCTTGGATGGATGGTAGGGCAGGCTGATTACATTTTTCAAAATAACTAAGTTTCTAAGATTCCAAACATTCATCTATTATAGTACTTGCTGATTCTATAGTTGTTAGTAATCTATTTCAGTTTGAGTTGCAATCAATGCAATTTTCACAAATCCCACAAGACAAACTTTTGCGTGTCAACATTCCTTATGCCATAGGAAAAAAAATCTTTAATTCAAAATGTTATCACAATAATGATTGATAGGCCTACAGTAATAGCCCTATCACTATCCAATTGAAAAAGGAAATGAAAATGGCATCACTGGTGAACAATTCTGTTCTACAAAGCTTTGGTTACTGCAGGATCATTTTGCTTTGAGTATTTGATATAATGTGCACCATCACCAGAAGGCCATGGCTGGAGTATCCATGAGAATCAACTCTCCAGCAGTTGGATGACTAATGATCCTGCTCCTAGAGAGGTGCTGAAGCTTATTAGCTATAAGTGTAAAACAGGAGAATGTGCTACAAAACAGTGTTCCTGTAAATCTACAAACCTGAGCTATGTGGGTTCAAGAACTGTCAGAATGATTCCAGAACAGCTAGCCAAGAGGACATTCCTGATGATAGTGATGACAGTGATGCTGATTATTCATTTTAGATATGAAGAAGTTGACACAGTAAGAGAATATAAATTGGATATCTCTTTTGTTTTTGACTGACCGATTGACATTGTGACCAAAGTAAATTAACTGTAGCACCCTCTGAAAATTAGCTGTAACATGTGTAATTAATATTTGACATGATACTAAATTAGAAATATTTATGATTTATTGTCTGGATAAATATTTTTTGCAACTGATATTTGAAATCATTCCCATTAAAACTATTTTGTCAGTCTTATATTGTGGACAGTGAAATACGCAGTTTGAGCTGTTGTCTTGATAAATACTTTTTCTAGCTTATATCTAATATAATGCCCATTGAGACTATTTCATCAGTAATATTTTGTACAGAGAGCAAGGTAGCTCCAGATATTACCAGATCTTTGGTATTAATTATTATGTTATTAACTTTGTTTATATTTTTCTACAATGGACCAAAGAGTCTGAACTTGAAGAGTTAAAGAATGTTTGGAACTTATTTGGAGCAATTTGTTATTCATTTTTGTTTATAAAATTGAATCCAAAATGTTGTATGTGAGGAATTAGGTCCTCCTGCGTACTTGTTTCAATAGGAGAGTTTTTTGAAATCATGATTTTTTTAAAATATTTTTTCTTCGCAACCGGTACTCCTATCCACTTAATATTCCATATATTGAACATTTTTGGGATTGTCTATATAAGTGTCAAATTTGAAGTGTATGGCCTTATTATTGTCTGAGATAATTGGAGTGAAAAATGCTATTAGAGGCTAAATTGTCCAATTTTTCATGAATTTTCCAACTTAGGAAGACGATAGCTCAATAACTGCAGGGATTCCGCTTGTGGAACTTTTTGTGGAAGAAGTTCAACTATTTTACTTGATAAAAACCACAATTAGAAGTATTTCCCACGATACTGGAATGGAAGTCAATTTCTAGGCACTTTCTGAGAGCTAGCCTATGGCATATGATGGGCTTAACCAGAGTTGTGTAAACTCATTTTGGTAACGTTTGAATTAAACAAATGTTTATTTATGAGTCAAAGTCTGGCACCAAATGTTTTATAATAGGTCAAAAGTCCTAAACACATACATGTAAACCTAACAAAAGTATGTGACACTGCATTGAAAGATAATCCTGCTTGACTCCATGGCTACTAGACTCAGCATGATCAGCTGATTGTAGCCATGGCAGCCTTTGACTGGAAAATTCAAACAAGAGAACCAATAAAAAACACGGCACTCAAAGTTTGCATGTACACTCCCAAATAATGGAGTCATCCTTACTGACTCACTTTGTTTATGAATAAAATGTTACATTGTAGTTACATGTAAGCTTTATACCAATCGGATTCAACCCCTTTGTAATCTCCAAGTTTTTGTTGAGTGGCTCTTTAATTTAAATGTCTTTGCTCAGTAACTGTAATTTTGTAATTGAATTATGCCGTAACATGTAGCCAGCTATTCCTCACCACTGTTGAGAAAATACATTTTCAGGGTTTAAGGTTTTAAGTCAAGCATCTATTTTTAAACTGTGAGCTCATGAACTACTGCTCAAACCTGTACAAGATTTCAGAATATATTTAGTGTTGAGAAGCTGCTGTCGACTAACTATACAGTACACACAGAGAGAGAGAGAGAGAGAGGGAGAGTTATCAGATGACTAAAATATTCAGGACTGACGGAGCTCATTTGGTTTGGTGATGTTGGCAGCTGAGATAAACCTTCAGATTCCAGATGGGAACCAATCCAAATGGGAACGCTCAAATCTTTCTTCTATTTAAACTCTGCCCTTGAAACGACATCGCGTCATGATGACATGCTACCATAAAATCTGAAAAAACACACTTGAACTGCTGCCTGAAACAGTTTGCAGCAGCCACAATGCAAAGCCTGACTGTAAGATGGGCATTTGAGAGCCACAGTGGGACTGTTTCCAATCTCACTTGCATACAATATGTAGGCCACAGTTTTTGGAGGCCTCCTCCTTTTACATGCATAATGTTCCCAGGAAAAATGAATAATAAGTAAGAGGCGGCGGCTGCTGCTGCTGCTGCTGCTGCTGCGCTGCCACATTTACCAGCAGGTAGTATATGGATGCAAGCACTCATTCATGATACACTTTCTGTCTCCTCAAGACTGAGGAGCTCATTCTCACAGTGTAGAATATATATTTAAAAAAAAAAAAGAAAAAAGAAAAACAGCACCCTGGAGGATCCGCCAGGAATAACACCTTATCTGCATTGTGGAAAAAAACTGCCAAATCATTCTGACTTACAGCAGCAGCTCATTAACACCCCATTGTGCACCAGCTTTAACTGCTGCACAGCGGCGCCAACGACTTTAGCCAACATCCGGTTTCAGTTTATTACTCAAATAACAATAGAGGAAAGGTCTCCTTGTTGAGCTAAATAACTTTTATACATTGTCAGAGGAGGATTTTTATATATAGATAGATACTTAGCAGCCAATTCAAAACCTGATGTATGAAACTACAAATACATGTGCTGGAATAAAGTTTCAAACTGTATTTCAATAGTAAATGTATTTTATTTATTTATTTTATCACAGACTCAACATATTTATGAAGTTACTTGAAAAATAAATTAAGTCATGGTAAAGAGCATCATCTAGTGGTGATAAAGCAGTACTTCTGTCCATTTAGAATAGAGTTAAGCCCCAAATTATTCATACTCATGCCAAATTTTTATTTATAGCGATTTCTTTATTTTTTTGACCAATGGGTTTCTTCTGGCTGAAAATGATATAATCAAGTGACAAAAGATAGTAATTCATTGTATGAGAAATGTTAATGATGAATTTTAGCTATTTCTGTGTTGTATCTTTTCTACATTTTCACTAAAAATGCTGTGTAGAAAATTTTTCATCTCAAATGACAGTGTCAACATTTATTGACAGAGTGCAGCGTCTATACCACTCATGATGGTAAAGTCTACCATGTTCTAGAGTGTTCTAATACACGATGAACTGAGAACAGCTGGTGCAGTATTTCTGTATTCCGTGACTAGTCAATTGCAAGTCATGGCTTAAACCAAGAGTTTACATTGAGATTATAAAGACATTTTCAGGTGTTTTCATGTTCCAGTGGCCACGGTGCAATACTTACTCAAAAAGTATGATGGGTTCCGCACTGTGGAAAATCTCAGAGGGTGTTGTAAAAAGCCAAAAGTGATGCTAACATTGGCTAGAATGGTGGAGACCAAGAAGAATCCAAGAATCATCACCAAGACTGTCCTGATGAATCTGAACAATTCTGATACCAACATCTCAAGACAGACAATCCAACAGACACTGAACAAGGCTGCTTGACATGGAGGCTGTCCAAAGGGGGACTCTACTCCTCCAAGACAGGTGTACCGAAGCTCATCAGATCTTTGCAGAAGCTCAAAGAAGAAACCTTTTGGTCATTATTTCTGGGATCGCATGAGATGAAAATGGAGTTGCTCGGACACAGAGACATGGCTTTAGTTTGATGAAAGAAAGGAGAATCTTTCAACCCCGAGAACACCATCCCCACAGTCAAACATGGTGGTGGGAATGTGACTCTCTGGGGGTGTTTTTCAGCCAATGGGCCTGACACCTTGTCAAAGTTAACATTTTCTTGTGAGAAGAGGACAATATGAAGTTTCTGGAAGGAAAACATCTGCAGAAAAACTGAAAAAGCAGTCAAGAAATGGTTAACAGTAAACAATACCAACATTTTGAAGTGGCCCAGCCCAAGTCGACCTGAATCCTCCTAAGGATCTAAGGGGGGAACCTAAAGACCAGATGATGGTGAGGAAACCTTTTAACCTCAAAGACCTGCAGAACATCACAAAAGAGGAGTGGAACTAAATCCAAGTGAAGACATGCAACAACCTTAAAATTATAAGAACTGTCCTGTTGTTGTGGTGTCAAATAAAGGCACCGCTTGTATTAATGTTGGACTTGGCCTTTTTTCATAAATGTACAAAAAGAACCCAACATAGAAATAGTTCAGATATATCAACATCTGTAACAGTATATTGCTGTCTTTTGTCATTTATGTAATTTCAAGCCACAACAAATCCATTGGTCGAATAAAAACTCACTGTACATAAAAATTTGGCATGACTATGAATAATTTGGGGCTTAACTGTAGTTTTGGCTCTTTCTAAGTGTCTACATCAGTTTTTTGATCTGAACAGCCTTATTATCTCTACATGTTTCCAAAAATTCCTTAATATTCTTCTCCAGTGATCGACATCAAGTTGGACAAACCGCAGGAGCCCCAGACTACTGAAGGCGGCTGCTCCTGTTAATACTCGGCATCTGTCCTGGAAAAACAAAACAAAACATCATTTACCCCACATGCTTGTTATGTTGCTTCCTATTGGTTAACCTGCAGTTGACACGTTGAGAATCTGGCCTCCTCGCCTGGTTGGAACTAGCAATATGTGAATTTGGTTCAAAAGTAGTGTAGCCTACTTTAACAAAACTGCCAAAAAATAAATCCTACAACTTGCTAAAAAAAACAAAAACAACAACAAAAAAAACCAACAAAAACGTAGTAAAAAGATCCCCATGCTGCATATGTGTATACAATTTTTTTAAGTAGAAAAGAGAGTTTCCCCAGTTTCTTTTTGTATTTTTGTATCTTCAGGGAATTTTCTCTGGAACTGTTGTTTTTTTGTTAGTTTTTTTTTTTTTTAATGCAAAGCTCTGTATGTGGGAGCTCGAGAGGAAGAGGTGGTTTAGACGCATTCTTATGGATGCAGCTGTTGTTACGGGCAAAAATAGAAATCTAGAGCTCATTGTGACCCAAACTTTAACCATCACAAACTCTTATTAACCCCTAACTTAGCTTTTTTTTGTAACTTTAGCCATCTCCAGCCAGTCACAGCCCATAACCCAGCTGGGATCCACAATTGTGCGCTAACAGACAAGCTGAACAGTAACATCTTGAGTATCTAATGCATGCCTAGTTTTTAAGCATAGGTACTGTTTACCCGTGTACACGAGTTTGAATATGTAAATGGTAACATTACACCAGTGACTTGATGCATTCTGATAAGTCTTTTTGTTTATGAACTGGATTTGTATACTTGACTTCAGAATATCTTTTTGTCGTGCGTGCGTGTAAATGTGTGCTTTCTGTATAGGCAACATTAGAATGCAGTTCCATAGAGGGCCACTGCCAAGTCATGTCATTCTCGCCACATTATGGCACCTTTTAAGTCACCGTTTGTTCGCAGTGTGTCATAGACTTACTCACTCACCACGACATGACAGCTGCTGTTGCATTGTGTGATATCTTGTGATTATGATAGTCTGCACATACAGTGGACTGTAAGTGGAGAATCAAAGCCCTCACCTTGCACGGCAAGACGTTTAACAGCAGATTTTTGCTATTCTGGAATTGCAGATATCAGCAACAGTGTTTTGAGTAATTTTCAATACATGAACAGTTACAGATATCAGAATTTTCAGTTTTGACCAGTTGTTATAATAGTTGCCGATATCTCAGACATCTCAGCAAAGCATTTGCACACAGTTATAGCGGCTGCTGTGGTGGATGAGCTCATTAGAAAATGCAGTGAAATACAAAGAGCTCATCAGTGAGGAGTTTGTGGAGAGCGAGAGCTGTGTTCATTTCAGTGTAAGAACTTCGGCCTCAGGCTGCTCTGACATGGCGATAAAATGCCTTGTCATGTGCAATTATGGTTACAGCCCCATAGAATGTCTGAAAAGCGAGCCGCCTCCACCTCCTACTGGCCATAACCACAGATATCAGCAATATCATCTCGCCTGGTCTAAATTTGAGTTCAGGATATCTGAAAATATATTTTGATGACGCAGAATTCCAGTTTTGAGATATCTACAACATCATGACCGGTTCAAACTTCATTTAAGGTATCTTGAAATGAAAATGTTAATATCCCGAGTTGAGGGACATTGAAGATATCTTGAACTAGCATTGCAAGAACAAAATGGAGGTGGATGGAAGGTGCAGCATCACCAGTAATGTGGCCGTCACACCTGATTACTGTTGTGAAAAGGAAGTCCAGCCAGAAAGCAAAGCTCTCATTTTACTGGCCTTCATTCCATCCCTCACTTATTGCCATGAGCTCTGAGTCGAGAGCCAGAAAAGGAGGTTGGAGATACAAGCGACCAAAATGAGTTTCCGCCATAGATTTGCTGAGCTCAGCCTCAGAGATAAGGTGAAGAGCTCAGACGTCTGGGTGAAGCTCAGAGTAAAGCATTGGCATTGAAAGGAATCAGCTGAGGTAGTTCAGATCTGATTATGTCGCCTCCTGTGCACTTTTCTATGGAGGTTTTCTGGTAATGACCAACCGGTAGGAGACCCCGAGGTTGACCCACAACTTGGAGGAGGGATAACATCTCATTTGGCCTGATAACAGCTCGGGATCCACTAGGAGGAATTGGAAAACATTGTTGGGAAAAAGAAGGTCTAGAATGACCCGCTTAGTGTGCCTCCACCATGCCCAAACCCTCGATAAGCAAAGGAAAACAAGTGGATGGATGAAACTAGAGCCATGACTAGTCAGAATTCATCTGTAGATTCTTGAAACTGGAATTACAGCGAGTCATAATTCAGTATCTGCAGTTCACATGATGGAAACCTGCAGCTGAATAGTAGAAAACCCCAAACACATGAATAATAAATGTGACGTCATTGGTACTGGAGCAGTGACAGCGTTGATATCTCAAATGCCGTGTTTGATCAGAACAAACTGAATTGTGGATATCTGCAGTACATGTCCAGTCTAGCTATAAAATGTTAAACCGTCTTGCTGTGCACCTTCGACTGTAACGTAGGTCCTGTGATCCAAGCAGACCTTTAACATTGTAAATCAACTTCATTCCTGACAAAAGACTAATTTGCACATGTAGACCTTTCAGGTTAATATGAAGTGATGAAAAGCTTCATTGTAAATGTACAGTCACTTAATTCAAAGACATGTCTGATTGTCATAGAAACTGTCACACAGCGTGTTCCCACTGACGTTTTCTCTGCTGCTTGTGTTGAAACTGACTACTGGCATTATGCAATGTTGCAATGGTGTTTTAAATTTCTTTTTATTTTCTTTTGTATTCCTTTCAGAGCCAGGAATCATAATATACTGGTGGTGAGGTCAGCCAGTGTTGAGAACACTACTTTGATTTGAAGTGAAATCTTTACTGCACTTTTTAAGAACATGTTTAAAGTTAGAGTGATGATGTAAGTCTTAGAAACATGGTGACAAAAAAAAACAACATTCAGAGTACTGTGTCTTAGAGTAGAGTGAAACATATATGAATTGTTCACACATGTCCAAAAAGGGGAGCACTCTTGTGAAAACTAGTGAACCTTTCTAACCCACATAATGAGCCAAATAATAATATTAATAATAATACGAGACAGAGGTGGATCAACAGGAGATCTTGACTGGAACACACTTTTTTGTGGGTTTGAGGATAACAAAGACGAGTTGCATTTCAAGTTCCCCCAAAATTTAAAAAATAAAGCCTTGTAATGTACGAGCCCTCGATTCTGCTGCCTTTTATCTGAAAACAGGAATGTTCTGCTCTCGTTGCCGAGCACACAGCCTTGTAAGAGGAGCACTTTTCAGAAGTGACTCATGGGTGTTTATTTTTTAAACGAGGACAAAATGATTGATCGGTAGCTACAGACACTCGTTTGTATTTCTTCCCCTCAGATATGAAAGTAGAGTCCAGTTGGTTTCCTGAAGGCCCGTTTTAACCATCCCTGGAAATGGACCAAGCGATGCAACAAATGTCTGGATAAAGGGAGTCTGCAATGGTGGAAGGGGGCAGCGGTTATTCCCTGAAGGTGTTTCTGTCGCAGCTCTGTGCAGCAGACTGGATCAGTCCAGAGCTGGCTCTCCATTCACACTGTACAGAGATCTAGCATGTCTCTCCAAATGATTAATAAAGATGTCTTATTACCAAACTCATGCGCTGTGCTGCTGTTTTTCTTTAACTTTCTTTTAACAATATAAAACCCCACAGAGCATCTATCATTCATACCTGTTCTCCAACTGCTTTCACTCAAATATTATTTCCTTTTGTTGATGTTTTGATCGGTTTTGTTTGAAGCCCTGAAATAACAGCAACATTACAGCGCTATCATGACTTCTAGCAGTAACATGCATGTCGAATATGCAGGTTACAAACAATGAAGCAACAGTTGCGTCAAACAAGTTTTCATACATGTTCCGGCATGAGTGGTTTCTGGTTTGACTCAACAACGAATATTCACAGTTTCTGCTGACGTCTGGGTATAATTAAATCACATGGTCACCTTCTCTATTGGCCAATCCTGGATTAACCCACAAAGAGGTAAAAACAGACCGTTGTGCCAATTTCAGACCCTCCCACATCCTCATTAGTTTGGTGAGAATGTCATTAAATGCAATTTTATTTGTAAAAGTATAATATGTTAGCACAAAATCAACTAAAATATAAAATTTGAATACTTGATAATATTATTAGCTGTATTTGTAGGGAACAGTTCTTACAGCACATGCAGCTCAAGGTGCTTTATCAAAGCCGACAGAAAAATAAATAGTTCAGTAAAATTCAAGTCCACAATAACGAATAAATACCACTAAATTACACAACATTACTTTTTTATTATTATTATTTATTTGTATTATATTGCAGCTCAGATGATTTGTTATTGATCACAAATGGAGAGAGGGAAGTTGTACAAAGACAAAAAACAATGTAAAATAATAAGAATTATACTAGGCTAAATAGGGAACTATACTAAGTACCTGAAATATTACAATAATTAATGAATTTCAGCGATAATCATACTAAATATGTATTCTTCTACAGTCTTATTTAAGTAATCTGATTGGTGTATTTTTATATGACTTTAAGAGCCACTGCTGATTTTTTTCCCCCCACAAAAATGTGCATTTTGTACCATCATAGTGTTTTTAAAATGAGAATAAAATCTCAAAAAGTCAGATTCAAGTCTTCATTTTAATTTTAAAATATGTATTTAGCTCTTATAAGAGCATAAAGCACCGTATAGTTAAATATTATACAAGTGTAAATATTCCTGCTACTTGAGTCAGTTTGCTGACTTCATGGTTATGTTCTATTAAATGTTTTACCATTTATTATCTATTATCCTGTAAAGTTACATGCTCACATTTATTAACTAGTTGTACTATAAAACACGTTTACACATTTTTACAATTTCTATAAGATAACAGTCACACAGTCAACCTCTGAGGCCCTGGACTTTCTGTGACCCTGTGTCGGTTATGGCACATTGTTATGGTTCCGTTGTAATTTGTTGGTCCTACTTCTGCTGCACTGTACAAACACATACTGTACATACTGTGGAATGCACAGTCAGTCAAGAATGGACTATTGCTTGATGTAGTTAGTAACACTGACGAAACAGTCTTGCACCATGTTTTTGTTGCAGACTCTCCACAGGAATTCCTGACGTAAAATAAAATAATCTGGAAACTGCCTCATTAATCCGTCCGACCAAAACAACCTGCAGTTGTCAAGAACATTTATGCAGATACAATTTATCGCTAATGGAGTGTTTCATTGTACTTTTACTCCTTCACATTTCAGAGTGAAATTTGTACTTTTTGCTCCAGCTTTAGCTACAGGTGACGAAGATTTATATTTTAAATGAAAAATGGGAGAGTTATGGGGAAGAGTGCTTTTATTTCGAATATCTTCTGTGTGATAGAATATTTTCTATTATAGTCCTGTTTTGACTTAAGTAAATAGTGTACATGCTTCCTTCAGCCCTGCCTGGCTGCTCTGGGAGTAGCTTCCTGCTCAGTAATCCCCAGTGATCAACACTGCCAGGGCCACACTGGGAGCCTGTAAATACATTGCGAAACTGAAATTGGTTCTTTGCCTTGTTTTTGTTTGTTTGTTCTCTGCTGCCTTCCTGATGTTGTCCCGTCCAGACTGTGGCTGCGACAGCCAACACTGCTGCTGCCAGTTCATTTAGAACTTGGATGCAGGCTTCGTGGAGGAGATGATGTCAGTGACTATGATAACACTTTTCTGCTGGAAGCTGCTGTTTAAAGCCGAAGTAACACACCATCTATGAAAACATGACTAAGTGTGTCCTTCTCAGGCTTTACAGTCGAGTCTGTTCACCAAACCAGCGCGACAACTAACGGACTTCTTGCACAAAGAACACTGACCTTAATATGACTGAGATGCCAAACACACACAAATTCTCCCTTTTCCCGTCTCACAGTGGCACATGGTGTATACTTTTGAACTGCTATGTGCACATAAGGTAACACAAACAGAACAAAAGACATTTCCATGAAAGTGATGATCCAGTTTTCTGATATCTCCAGTGAATACTTGCCAGATGCTTGATGAATGGAGTTTATAATCCACTTTCGTGGTTGAATGACTCTTTTGTGGCAGGTTTTTGTTGTGTATCGTGCCCACAAAAGTAATATTCACATTCAGAAATCTCCTGGCTTCACTTCTTTTTTTTTTGTTGTTGTAAATACTTAATGTGTCATAAATGATGCACACAGGAAAAAAATGTATTTGCTTTGAGCTCATGATTCTTTCAGATGACTGACTGGAGCCACATCAACATGAATTACTAAATAAAAAAACACCAATGAGGAATAATTTCAAAAATAGTTTTATTAAATACTTTGTCAGCTAACTATCATATATAAAGGTAACAATAACTTATGGTGTTTAGGGTTCAAATGCAGAGGAGGCCATCTGTTCGGAGGGGGTCTCTGGGTGTCGATCCCACTGGGACAGCTGAACTAAATCCCACAGCACCAGCTGGGAGAATTAAGCCGAGAATAAATAATGGGGAGACGGGGAACCTTTGGCTGAGGACAAAACAGCGTCTTGACAGGAGCACAAATGGATTTTCAGTGCTCAACTTTCCTTCCACTGACTGACAGAGTTGAGTCTGGTCTTCTAGTGTCTTTACAGTCCGCTCATGAGATCCTGACAGCTTCTCTAAAACATCTCTTCAGTTGAAAGTCTGCGCCAGGATTTCATTTCCCTTCAAAATAAAACAAATAGAGAAACATCAGCCCACTCTTTAATTTCATATATATTCCTTCCTGCTGTCACAGTTGCAGTCAGAACTTACACGTTGCCTCCGGGGACGATTCTCTCTTGGTGCTGCTTTGTCCAGCTGAACCTCCTGAAGAACGCCGGCAGTCTGAGCTTTGTTCTGGCGGGCCTCGAGGAAACGCTGAAAAGTAAAAGCTGCTGCGTCAGACGGTGTTTCACTCCTGTAACAAAATGCTGCCGAGCCAAGGTGCTAATGAGAAGCTCTGTGGACTCACACGCTGCTTAGCAGTGACGTGTAAAGGCCTCGGTATGGCTGGAATTTCAAATGGAACACCAGCTCTGATTTTCTTCCATTTCTACCATTTTCAGTCATTACAGCAGCAATGTGGTGCCTTACGTTATAGTGTTTTAGAAAAGAAACCCTTATTTATCTTTGTTTATGTCGTCTGCTTGTGTTTTCAGAGTCATGGCACAACAGTGTTAGATGCTCAAAGTGCCTGTAGACAGAAATAGAAACTAGTCGTGTGACTGTCCACGTCTGTATGTTTACTCTCATGAACCCACCATCCTGCCTGAGATGAGGGCTGCTGTTTAGCCTGCATCCTCTCCTCCTCTGATTTTCCCTTCAGTCCTTCCTCCTCTTCCTCCTCTTCTTCCTCCTCCTCCTCCTCTGGTATCTGCTCCCACAGCTTGCTGTTGACCCACAGGGCTTCCTGCAGGCTCAGGCCTCGGCCAATGCAGGTGACCCGGCGGCACAGAGGGCAGGCCACGGTGAGGAGCCCGCTCCTGGCCTGCGACATGGTCTCCAGACATGGGTCGCAGAAGGTGTGGCGGCAGTGCAGCAGCCGGGGGATCCTGTCCATGCGGGAGTAGGGCAGCAGGCAGACGCTGCACTCACCGTCCTCACAGAGAACCATGGTGGAGCTGGACTGGTGTGCCACAGAGAGCTTCTCCAACAAAACCTGATTTCCTCTGATCTGAAAGTCCCAGAGAGAAGTCGACCTGGAGCCTGTTGGAGCTGATGGATGCTGCAGGTGCCAAGTTCCCAGGGTGTGTCCCCCTATTAAATCACACAAAGAAGTTTATCAAGCTGTGACAGATTTATTTTGCAGGTTGTAGATTAGATCAGGCGTTAAATCCTATTTTTATTCTGATTTAACATATAAACAGAATATCTGTATTGTCATCGCGATTTGCAATGAAATTGGTCAAAAAGTGATTTAACAGTGACTAACAGTGACTTGTATTTATGACCTATACATCACTTACAACACACAAAATACATTTAAGTTGAACAACTATAAAAAAGAATAAATAGGCGTAGAGTTTAGGGTTTTTTAAGAACATGTGCATTTGGCCCCCACAATTAAATCATGACAGAAACAAAGAACTGTTCAGGACTCAATGTTGGTAACAAGTGTGTCTGCTTTTTGTGCTTTCCTTTACACAAAAAAGACAAGTTTCCCCAAATTGATGTAGAAAAGGCACAAACTGGTTCATAAAAATTCCCCAAAACACTCAAAATCTCAAGGTGAAACACACCAAACCCCTTCCTGATGCATCCCCCCAATTATTCACATCTGCACCCACGAATACCATCGTGATTGTTTTATTCCAGACATTAAACCTAAATTAAGGGGAAAAAAACCCAAACAGTGTCATGTAATCAGTATCAGAATCACAAATACTTTATTGATCCCAGAGGGGAAATTGATCACATTTATTCCCATTCAAAGTCTTAGACAAAAAAAAGGATAAACATAAATAGAAAAATATGTTCTAAAAATACAAATGTAAGTAGAAAAGCATAAATTTTGCATTGTTCTAAGAAAATAAAATAGAATAAAATGATAGAATACTTTTTTTTAATTGATTCACCCAGTGAGGGAAATTTACAGGCCACAGCAGCATCAAAATGTACGTATACAGTGTAATAAGTGGTAATGGAGTTATATTTGCGTTATTGTACAGAGAAATGATTATGCTCGTGATATATTTAAAGAAAAAGAAGTGTTAAACAGTGTACTTACAGCAGGTCTTTGCAGGTTGATTATCGCTCCTCAGATCTGGATCCTCCGTGTCTGTCCAGCTCTGCCTCTCTGCAGTGAATGGTGTCAGAGGAGACTCGTCTGCCGCCTGTTCGTGTCCGTTGCGTTTGTGGGGGCGGAACATCTCCCTGTTTCTCACGGCTCAAACCCTCCCAGTGCAACAGCTGGGGAAGCAGAACGGCCGGGACGCTCTTTGTTCGAGCTTTTGACGGAAGGCAGGTGGAGGAACGGGGTGGGAGGTAGAAGAGGGGCTTGGGGAGGAATAGGTAAATAGTGCTGACTAAAGTCGACGGCTGCAGCTCAATTTAAAATGGAAGAAGACATATTAAAGGAAAAGATAGTTCAATAACGAAAAACATGGGCTCGTCCGGGATTTGAACCCGGGACCTCTCGCACCCAAAGCGAGAATCATACCCCTAGACCAACGAGCCACATGTATGGAGGCAGACGGTTGTGTTTTTGTAGTAATATCGGTAGCTATATATAACGACGGTGTCGATGTTTGCGTTTATAATACACGACATCACGTTGTCTTTTTGAACCCATTAGACAGAGGTGACATATCCGTAAGCAGCATATGCGGTAAATACACAGTTGATGGCTAAGTATACCTATGTTTATCTTTTTAGCTGGCTAGCGCTAACGTCGGGGTGCAGCCGAAAACGCAGCTGATATGCGTATAAAAAACAAAATTATGTGTCTAAATATGGTCACAAAGCGACACGCAGTGAAACGGCAATACCACAGACTGCAACTGGAGCGTTAACTGCGTAAATGGTACCAACCTGCAACGCCACGATTGTTTATAGCTGCCGCTAAAAGCTACTTATACCCTCTAGCGACGGTCGCTGTTGTTGGAAAAAGGTGGGCTCGTCCGGGATTTGAACCCGGGACCTCTCGCACCCGAAGCGAGAATCATACCCCTAGACCAACGAGCCACGTGTTCAAGTGAGCTGATACCACAGGATTTAATCAGTGAAACTAGCGGAGTGTGTCGACTAAAGTGCATTGTGTTGACCTATTATGTGCCCAAGTTTGGACTGCTGTACGGAGATAAAGATAAGCTTAATTATTATGTGCAACATGTTAAAAATAAAAGTGCATATGTAAGTGTATGTCACCATTACAACATCGATTCTGAAATATTAAGCGCTAACTGCTAAACGTTAATGTTACATTTTAGCTTTATGAGCAACTGCTGTAATTTCTACCTGCGTGCGGCGCCAATTTTGGTAGTGACGTAGAGCGTGCTGAGGTCATAGATTGGGGGCGGGGTTACCGCCTTAGACCAGGAAATCCATTGTAGCCAAAGTAGTTGTTAGTTGTACAGTGAGTTCGGTTATTTATGTAAACAAATGTAGTTGGACACACTGAAACTTGACACAGTTTACTGATAACATTTGCTAACGATGGTGGAAACTTAACCTATCGTTTAGTCGTCGTTGTTGTTAATGTTAACTCAAGCAACTTGGTCGCTGCGGCTCAGTTTGGTTATGGTTAGTAACGGTCATGCTGTTTGGTTGCTTGTTGAGTTAATGTAGCTCGTAGTGGGAGACACGTCTCCACAGAGCTATACGTTACTGAGAAGACTTAAACAGCAGCATCATTTTGAACCAGATGGAGACATTTATGGGATCAATGCAGAGTCCCGATTTAAGGTAACGTCTGAACTTGCTAAAACCTGCTAACTATCTTGGCTGAGTTGTTCTGAATGCCAAACCATTAATTTCATGCAGTCTGCTTAACTTTTCTGCACCAATTTGTGACATATCAGCATCATTTTAAGATGGAACTGTCCTAATTTATGTAAAATTAAACAAAATTCAGGCAAAAGGCAACAATTCTTAATATATATAACAGGTTAAATGGTTGTTTGAGATCATGTTTCATATTCATATTTTTGGGGTAAAAATATTGAGGATATATCCCCTGTGTGCCCCCAAAATCTACACCTGTGATCACTGACAACCAGCTCTTGCAGATATGACAGTTTGTTGTGCAGTATTGTAACCGTGTTTTTTGTGTATCTGTATCTGTCTTCCAGCTCTGTCCTGTCATCATGTGAGCCGGAGCTCCAGGAGCTGATGAGACAGATTGACATCATGATCAATCATCAGAAGAGGGAGTGGGAGGCTGAGATCCGGGCCTTGGAGCTCCGGCTGAAAAGTGGAGAAGAGGAACTTATAACCTCAAGAAATATTATTGAACGGAGGGACCTTGAGGTGAAATAGAAAAACTGAACTAATGTCACTCCTTTCATTTTTTATTAGATTTCATTTTCTACTGATGGAGAACATTTTCTTTAGTTACTGCATGAGGAGTGTAGGGCTTTTCCTGCATATAGAGGTTTTTGTCAGTGACAGAGGAAATTCACCAGGGCCAAAATAATAAGAATTGAGAATAAAAAATAATCCATATGTATTTTAGACAGTTTTGTTAATTGGTGTTTGATTTCATCAGGCACAATTGTCTTTTTTTATCAAACGGTGAGAATAACAGAAAAATGCCTTTACTATATGTGTCTCAATCATGCATAGTGTCATATGGAGTCACCCACCAAATGGCTATTCTGGACCAGGAAAAACTCTGAAGTACAAACATTTAGTCAACTGAAATCTACTAAGTGCTGATATTCATTGTACATTTTTAAGACTGTTCACATTATTACCCCTGATTGTAGATCAAATTGATCCGCAAGCAGCTAGAAGATGTCCAGAGTGATCGACAAGACTTAGTTACCAAATATGAGCAACAACTGCAGAAAGTTCGAGAAGAGGTGAGACAACTTGTCTGATACAGAGTTAAACAATCTGGTAATGGAGCAGTAGATTGAGATCTGCATTTTAAAATCTTGACAGTTCTGCTTGGGTCTAATGGTACTTCTGACAGTAAATTTTGTCTGAAGAATGCATGCAATATAATATTTAGATAAAACTGTAATGAATGTTTGTTTTTTTCCCTTTAGTTGGATAAACTAAAAAGAAGTTACTACAAGCTTCAGAGAAAACACCTGAAGGAGTCCAGTGAAGGAGCAAAAGAGGCAGACATTTCAAAGGTGCCTTGTCACATTTTCTACTGGGATTACCTCAGTCACATACAAACTGCCCTTTTTTACCTTTTTTACCATCTGCTTGTGATGAGGAGTATAAGAGCCTTCACGTCTTCTATCAGGAGTACCATCAGCACTCTGCCGAATGGGAGCAGCTCCGCTCCCAGTACCAGAAACAGCTGACAGCACTGGAAGCCCAGAATAAGAGCCTGACCAATGAGCTCTCACACGTGAAGGTAAAAGCAGATTTGTAACCTTAACATGTAATCTCAAGTTAGGGATTAAAACTGAAGCAGGTAAATTTTGACTTGTGTTGTCTGTCACTTGTTTTCCAGTCCCAGTTGACATCGCGGCAGTTGGACAGGGAGCACAGGGAGTGTTGTTTTGAGCTGCAGCATCTGTGCACTCAGCTGGAGAAGGCTCAGGGCAGTTTGCACTCGCAGGAGCTCGAACTGGAGCGTCTCCGACCTCTTGAGATGTGGCTGGGACAGTCTCAGAGGGAGCAGCAGGTGAGTGAAAAGACAGAAGCCTGTTTGAGTAGTGGTAGATAACAGTGATCATGTTGGACCAGTTGCACTTATTTTACATTTACATGTGTTACAAAAATGTATGAGATGCCACCTGTAGTCCGTAACATAAGGACAATGTGGTGTTCTTAATGCAGACTCACTGCCTATATTACAAAAAGCAAAACAGAAAAAACACAATACACAGTCACTAATGTACTATTAAAAAGCAATATAGCTGAGAAAAATATGGTTTCAGTTTTTTGCATACATACTTTTCCACACACTTTAGTGTCTCTTCTTTTAACTCACTGTCAAGTTGATTTCATTTACCAAAGTTTGTCAATAGACCCACAGCCTGATGTTGGTGCAAAAATGACCAAAATAAAAAGTAAATGCCAGAGTGTTGCCTCAAAGCAGCACAATGTCTTAAGATTTTATTATGAAGCTTCCTAAATAATGCTGATGACAAACCTTCAGGCATCAGATTGTATTTCATTGACTCACGTAGATGACCAGGCTCTGGATTCAGTGTGGGAGGTTAGATATCCTGGCAGCTTTGAGGAAGGCTTTTATAAATGGAAACACGGGCATCCTGATGTCTTGTAGATGCCAGTGATGACCATCCAACCCTTTTCATATAAATCACAGTGATCTCCAAGAGCCAATGAAGCTGGTACGATAAAACAAATAATGTTTTGTCTGTTTTCAAAGGTCTTTGTTTCAGTACAACAATTTCTAATTTTTGTGCAGGATGTTCAACATGAATTTTGTAAGAAAATCTGACGCGTAGACAAATGCTAAACTGTATGTGCTATTGTACATTGTGATTTAGCTCGCTATAGAGCATACTCCACTACATTTATCTGGCAGGTATCGTTACTTTTCAGATTTACACTTTATGTATTTATCTCTCACTCTGAAGTAAAATAAGAAATGTGCATATCTAGACAAACTTATTTCATCCTGTATTACATTTTTCCCCACTCCTCAGGTTTATCTTGTGACTCCAGACCCCTGTGACTAAACTCTCTGCTAAGTAGTTCAAACTACAAGAATAGAATGCTGAATTGATGCATCAGTATGAATTGTCTAATGTGTTATGGAAAATATCACAGAGAAGAGCAGTTTTGTTATCGATAATTCAAGTACACTTTGCTGATACTTCAGTACTTTCACTAAAGTAGGATTTTAAAAGCATTTTTACTTGTAATGGGCTATTTCCACATTGGTGCTGTGCTATGTAAATGTAGGATCTGAGTAATTTGTTCAGCTCATGTGTTAATCCGCACCAGTGTACCAGCAAATACTCAGCAAGGAGAGAGTCTACAAGATTTGTGCTGTAGTCTAGCAGTTTAGATATTATTGAATCAGCTGAGGGTTCCACTGTTCCACAGCTGCTCTCAGAGGAACGCGAGGAGCTTCACGCCACGCTGGACTGTCAGGACACATTTGTGCAGAGAACCAGTCTTGAGCGGCAACAGCTGCGTAATGAAGCTGCCCGACTCAACCAAGTGCTGCAAGCTAAAGATCAAGTCATTCGGTGGGTGGATTTCTAATGTGTTCAGTCTGTTAGGATGCAATACAAAAATCATACACAAGGGGGTGTTCTATACCAACACTGTGGGCAGGACTGAGTGAAGCGGTTACACTTGGTTATCAGTAGTCCGACAGACAGGTTGTAAACTGACGTGTTTATTGGATGTTCTCGTGCAGATCTCTGGAGGACTGCCTGGCAGCTCAGGGATGTGCTGGTGTGGAAACCCTCAGAAAAGATCTGGAGAGGACGGCAGCCAAGCTTCAGTGTGCACAAGCATGTGAGGTCCATCTCAAGGCTGAACTGGCTTGTCTCAAAGAGAGGTGAATGATGGCCTCTTTTTACAGACACTAATAGACCAATATTGTTTTTGCTTTGTTGTTTTTTTACTGATACAGCACGAGCGTTTTCTTTCTGCCATCCTTGCTCCTCTTTCAAGCCTTTGACAGCCACATTTTCTTCAGTTACACAGAAAAAGTCATTTGATCATAAGATCCTCTACATTGTTTCGTTTTTATTGGATTGTTTTTTGGGACATTTAATTGCCTTTATTTGATAGTGACAGTAGAGACAGACAGGAATGTGAGGAAGCAGAGGAGGAGAATAACATGCAGAAAATAGTGTGGCCGCAATTCCTTGACTATCATGTCGTTCCAAGATCTTGTATATTCTTTATTGTAGTCAGTGGTGGAAGGTAGTGAAGTTCATTCACTCATTTACTGTACATAGGTACAAATGTGAGGTGCTTGTACTTTCAGTATTTACATTTTATGCAGCTTTATACTTCTACTCCACACCGTCTGTCTGACAGCTTTAGTTACTTTAAAAAAAAACTACATTTTTAGAATGCTTGTGGTAAATGGAAGGAAATGCTCCTATTTCCTAAGCTCAATAAACAATATATAAAGAAAACCCTTTAGGATTAACTGGAAAATGTTTTTCTGAGTCTGTTAAAAGTTTAAGGTTTTCACATGAGAGTGATGGTACAAACATGACAGTCTTATAGAATGTAAATCATTTCTGTAGATTTAAAAAAACAAAAACAAAACGGCAACGATCAAGTAGTTTAAGTAGCTCAGACTTTAACAGTAAACTGCAGCATGACCATGAACGCAGCAGTTATTGAAAACATCACATATGATTGTAAAACAGCGACAAGGAACATTTTACTGTTAATACATCAAATATCCTTTGCTGATAAAACTCACATATATTTACTTAATTCTGTTTTTGAATGCAAGACCTTTACTTTTAGTTGAGTGTTTTGACAGTGTAGTGTAGCTGTAATTAAAGAATCTGATCTTATGTATGTGATCTCTTTTATCTTCCTCCATGAATCACAGGTAACCACAAATGTGCTGTCTTTGGTTGAACATGACTAATTCTTAGCAGCCGTCAAGCTGTCCTGTCTGACTTTGTTGTCTTGGAAAATAAGAGATGAGAGTCACTCTTCATTAGAAGGTCTGTCTATATTAATCACCTTTCATTCATACACTGTGGAACCAGGATGTTAAGAAGGTTATCAGGTGTGTCATTTTGGGAGCCCTGGTGTTTGAATATATTTATGGGATTGTACCCAGTTTAGAATAGGATGGTCCTTAAAGTCTGACCCTCATTCTACAAGCTGGTGTCAACCTGAAATACCAGAAAAGAGAATACTTGTATATACCACGGTGGCTGATCATGTCTTGAAAACCAAGAATCAAATTGATTCCATTTAAATCTTTTTTCTGTGTGTTCTGAATGTGCCATGTCATCGGTTTCATTTGTCTGGACTCAGACTGGAGACAGTGGGCAAACAGAGAGGTGACCGCTCAAAGATGGAGCAAGAGCTGAGGAACCTAAAAGCAGAAAGTGACTCTGCTGTTGCTGAAATGAAAAAGGTCAGAAAGCTCACCGACATATACGCCTTTCTTTGTCTTGATCGTTCACCCGGTTGACATCGTCAACACTGTTTATCTGGATTTATTCTGCAGCTCAGAGAGGAGCTTCAAAGGGCCAAGCAGACTCACAGCGGAGAGGTTGAGGGAATGAGGAAGGAGGTGTCGAAGCTGACCGGAGAGCTGCACCAGCGTGACCTTACCATCGCCTCGCTGAGCGGCTCTTCATCCAGCATCAAGCAGCAGCTTCGTGGCGAAACAGAGCGAGCAGAACAGAAGGCAGCCGAGCTTAAAGTGAGTTGAGAGCATCCTGGATGATAAATGATCAAATTTAATGTAACAAAGAGTGTAAAGGTGAAGGAAGCTGACAGACCTGATAGAGTCTTCCAACAACTCTTTATCTTTAATGGTTACCTGCATTATGCGGAAGCCTATTGCCTCTTCAGGGGTTTAAGTCACATTTGTCTTCCTCTCAGATGACTCAGATACAGCTGGAGACTCTACAAACTGAGAACCAGCAGCTGAAAGGTCTGCTGCAGAGACTTCCATCTCAGTCACCCAAGGTATGTCTGCTATGACATCTTTATGTAGTCATCACACAGTGCCACAGAAAACTTCAACCAGAATTCTTTTCTTCATGTGGCTTTAGTGCTTGTTTCTAAATATGACTCATCTCTTTCCCTGAATCACTTCTTCTTTCACCACAGACGGGAGACTCCTCGCTTGCTTCACTGAGGGAGAGTTATGTCTCTTCTCTGAGTAGCCTGGAGCAGGAGAACCGGCAGTTGAGGCAGGCGCTTGGTGAGATGAAATCACAGGTTGAGGTCTCCAACCAGACCTCTCAGGATAAATATGAGCGAGCTGTGCTCAGCCACGCAATCATGGACCAACCAGAGTCTGCTCAGGACAGGTAGATACTAAATCCACATGAACACATGCACAAACATTGAAGACCTAATCATGATAAAACTCTTTATGGCTGCAGGCTGCAGGACGATCTGCAGGCCTCAAAAGCGAAGCCGCAGGAGAAGAGCACTCACTATGAAGGGGAGATCCAGAGGCTCTTTAAAGAGCTTCACACCCTGTCGCCTTCCCCCACGGAGCAGCCAAGCAGCCAGGCCCAAGACTTCAGGCCTCATTCATCCTCCTCCTTATGCAGCAGCAGCACCAGGCTGTCCAGGAGAGACTCGGTGCCTGTGTTAAATGTCAATGAATCTGCTGCTGAAGACTCTCCGACCTCAGGGTCCAGAGAAAAAGTCACTCCCTCGCCTTCTTCTGTGGTGAGGCTTCTTACAAACTGTGACCTGTGCTGACATTCTGCTGCTTATTTAAGTGAAGAATCCAACAGTTATGTTTTTTTCTTTTCTCCCAGGAGCTTTTGCCAGCGTCACCTGCACAGGGCATGGTCACCCGTTTCCTGGAGGAGGAGAGCTTACGGACTGAGGAGCTGCTGCAGAGGCTGGACAGCCACATCCAGGGTATGAAAGAGGACACCATGAAGACGGTGACCAAGTACCTGTCAGGTGGCTCTGGGCCCGAATCCGCTCAGACATCTGTGCAGAATGGTCAGTGATTAAGTCACAGCAGTGAGAGTAATGATTGGCATTATTATATTTAAGAATGACAGCAGATAAGAAGGTTTCTGCCTCATTTGATTGAACTTTAAAACATCTGTTCCTATTCTTCCATGTTTTGCACATTTGAGATCATTATGGCAGCTGAGAGCTTTGAATTCACCCAAGTGTTTCTTAAGAACTGTCAGCAGTAAAGGCAACGTTTTATCACAAGCCGCCAAATATGTTACAGTCCCTAAATCTAACTGTGGCCCATAGGAACCCCTAACATATGAGGTGCCACAAAGCTGCTCCAGTTCAAAACACGTTTAATCACACAGAACCAAGGAATACTAACAAAAAACTGAAGAAAAGTAAAAGAGACATGAGCCAAAAGAGTGAGAAAGCCCTGAACCGTGCCAGTGGACCGTTGAAGTAAGGATTCTCCCCTAAACTAAAGCCAGCCATCTAAACTAATGAAACCAAAACCAAAAGCAGGACCGCTGGTGACTCATCTAATAATTAGCAAAGCAGAAACTGCAGAGTTGAGTTAAAAGATGTGCCAAAAAAAATCATATGGCAATTGTTTTGACAGATGATTTTAGTGGGCCTGGTAATTTTTGCATTTAATTTCTACAGAAAAAAATCTAAAAATGATGATTCATTCAGTCCGTACCAAACAAGCGTGTTCCCTTATGTCTGGAAAGTATCATCAGTAGGTGTGGGACGTCTTTGTAGCACCAAAATACTCAATTTCTAGTCAAATGTTTTGACACATTTGTACCTTTTCTCAAAAATGTGCAGCTTTGTGTTTGTCTATATTGTGCTTGTGACCATTCTTTGATTAGTTGTTCAGCCGAACTGCAAACACAAGAGAGAAACTGGTCAGATTCCCTGGCCAAAGAAGAAGTTACTGAAAATAATGAGAAGAAAAAAGCACAAGCGTAGAGACATGTTTGATTAGCTCTGTTGACTACTTGTGATTTTTTTCCTTTTTTTGTGTATTTTATATTTATCGAAGTGAACTGTTTCAGCTCTTGTGTGTATTGGAAGTAGAGTTCACATTAAGTTGATCTTAAAGAGAAAACACTGACAAAGGCCACTTGATTAAATGTTATGTGCCAACTCACATCTTGTGTTACAAGTTGCAACACAAAGACTTCAACAAGCTTTCTGGACATGTTCAGGTAACGGAGACTCACTGCCATGGGTTCGTCATCCAAAACACACGGCAGAAAGATAAACAAACTGACCTACTGTTTCACACCAATGGGAATCATTCATACAGGTGCTGACATAAAGCTGCAGCTGTAGAATGTTGCTTTACCTTGTGCTCTCTGTTTAGCTCCCGGGCTGGAACTAATCAATGTTTTCAGTTTTTGAGAAGCTTGTAATACCTAAACTTTGTCACCTTTGCTGCTTCAAAATAATCAAATCATCATTTAGCAACTTTATGCTGCTGTTCTTATCAGTTACCCAAATAATAGCCTCTGGTCATTGGAAAAGGACTATAAATAACTGCACTAAATGCATGAATTAAGCTGGATTTATGTTCTGTCTTAACTGCATGTAGAATAATGTTGGAAAGTCCCTCCTCCTACACGTTATCAACTCTGGCTCTGGTGCCACCATGAGTAACTTTCAAACCCAACAGTCCAACCTTCACACCTTCTTCATCCTGTGGACTCGGTTATTGCACTCCTTGGTTTTTTTAAAAAACATTTGTTACGAAACTTCTTGTGGCACTCGTCATGTGAGCGACCCATTGCAGCACCATCAGCGTCTCCCTGGAGAGACTGTCGGAAATTTTCACGCTGTTTTTAAATGATATTGCGTCTCTCTGCGACGGCTGGCTTTTCACGCCTCCATCCAGTGTGGCCTTTCGGAACGACTATAAACACATCTGATTTCCAGCGTGGGTGGACAGTATGTCTTCAGAAGTAGTTCTGAGAGACCATAACTCACACGGCCATTTCAACATCACAGACATAACTCACAAACTCAGCAACAGCCCTGCTCAGGCTAACTGTTTGTGGCATATCTGAAGTGTTACGCTTTATGCTACACTTTTTCCCTTCAGGCTTGGATGACGTCAGACCTCTGTGCGATTCCACCAAGAAAAACACGGAGATGTGATTGCTTTTATGAACAGAGAGATTGCTGTTTAAGCTTATGTCGCCATTTTGTGAGTAAGGTATGACTTATATTTGTGCAGGCGTAACTCAGACCTAGTATGCAGTACGTTTGTTTTTACTTATTTTTCAAACCTGCAACCTGACAGGAATTAAATCGACCAATCAGCTTGATCGATGGGAAGGTTCGTACAACACACATACGTTTTTTTTTTTTTATTTGGGATGGGAGCTTCTGCAACCTGTATTTACTGCTAATACATTCTTTGGTATGTCTGTGGAGATGTTTACGTGTATCATCAGAGGACCATAATTACAGTGTATGAGGCGTGACTAAGAAGCGAGACTGCACCTGTAAAAACCAAAAATCTAAAAGTCTACCTGATTTAACCCTCTGAACCCAAGAAACCCCTAGCCGTTTAAGTGACATATTGTTTTTAGGAATTAACAAAATTACATTATTTGTCAGAGCAAGAAGCCGTAAAACAGCAATCTGTGCTTCTTTGGCACAACTGTGACACCAGTAGTGACTCAGCTGAACTGTGTTTACACAGATTTGATAGGGGACAAGAGACAAATTAAAAATGTAAATGGTAAAATATCTGTAGCATATAGAGTCCCTCTTGGAAAAACATTGTACATGGCGATGCCAGGTTTGTTTGTTTTAATTTTTGTAAAATAAATATTTAAAACATGCACTTTGTTTTTTTTGTTTGTTTGTTGTTTTTTTTTTTTTTTTTACAGCATTATAACTTCTACCAACATACTGCACAAAAACATTTTTGAGTTTTCTCTACTTCCTGCTATGGTTGTGCTGTTTGCATAGAGGTGCAGTGAAAAATGTAATAGGAACAGGAGATGCTACACACTGCTGGGCTTCAGAATGTGGTGCAGAGTGGTCTTCTTGTGCTCCCAGTGTTCCTGCCACTGCTGGAGCGCTCCCTGGAAGTCCTCTTATATAAGCGACTCAAGCACCATCTGTAAAGTGCACTGGATCTCTTCCTCTATGTCAGTGGGGTGACAATTTTTTTTTTTTCTGAACCAAAGAACAGAGACATGAAATCACACAACTGAACTGAGCTTCATTCTTTGAACTGGGAGAACATCCATCAGTAACATCATTAATGATGAGACAGCAGCAGTTCAAAGACTGTGCATTGTGGTCTGTTTCATTGATCTACTGTGACTTACAGGAAACTTAGTTACAGACAACAGTTAACTAATTCAGGATGCTGACAAACCTGATTCACTGTTAACCCTCACTAAGTTAGGAAACGTAGCTGTAGAGAATGTTAGACATTTTTTATTATTAGAGGATACAGTCTAATGTTAACGTCAGCTACAATAACGTAGGTTACTGCTTTTATATGTAATATTATCCAGATGTGGACGAGAGTACAATAAGTTTCTGAGATGACTTTAACAGTTTCCTGTACGGTTGAGCTTGTCAGCAGCAGCCACTAAACGTGTGGTCCCTTTTTTTTTCTTTCTTTCTTTCTTTCTTTCTTTCTTTCTTTCTTTCTTATTATTATTTCGAGGCATACAGAAATACAAAAGCAGGACAGAGTCAAATTAACCATCACAGCAGGTGACAATGATAATGACAACAATTGTAGCATCTTTGACAGGATCACTTTGATTACACCAGAGATTACTATCATCAGCATTCTGACAATAATCAGCACCAACAGTAGCACCAGAGATAAACACTTAATGCAAATTTTATCCCACATTCATAAAGATATGTGTGTGCGCATACATAAATCTGAAAGTAAGTTACCCAGTTTAATCAATGACCTGGTTATCAGAAATAAATCCTAATTTATGCATGAGGTCCAATGTTTTAACAGCTTTTTTTTTTTTTTTAGCACAAACCAAAGATATGCACATAAAGTAATTATGACATTCTTTCATCAATACAGAAAAGTGGGGTTTATTGTTGCTACACTTGGCTTTGTGAATATGATGTTTTCTCAGCAATATGTATAAGTTGACTGGATGCTCTATTGTCCTGTCTTTGTGGCTGTAATAAGTTATAATGTCTGAGAATTCCAGAGCGACTGAGATATGTATTTTGAAATGAAGAAATGTTTCCAATTATATTTCGAATTATAGAAGTGTACAGCTTCCCTGACAGTGCTAACATTAACTGTAACCATGTTTTAAGACCACAAAGACACAAAAAACAAGAAGCCTGCTGCTTCGGCAAACGTGATCATTTATTAGGACGACAGCAGCACATGGTAGCATCATTAAAACGTAGGGCGTCTCAGTCGGTCGGCTTAAAAATGGTTCCACTTAATCCCAATGTATCTGACTTTTCCCCTAACTTTGCCTACCTAGCCCAGGTTTTAGCTCTGTGGGTTGAAGCATCAGACTAGGCCTATATACTGTTTGGCAACAAATAATCATAAATAATAATAATACATAGCATGAATAAATAACATCATTCATTAGTAACACTGAAACATTTAATGGATTAATTCATTTAGTATGCATGTGCTGTGGTGTGGTAGCCTACATTTTGTGATACCTAATTTAGCCTCATTTTCTGTTTAGATTTTGCCATTTTAGAAATTCAAAGCAAAGACAGGCTCTTGCACTTTATTTTGTACAATTAAATAATTGTATTAATTTTGTTTTCTTTTTGAGCCAAATTCTGTATTGTTTGGATATGACAATACAGTATAGTTTGAATGTATTCAGCTTACATTTCTTATTCAACTGGTTCAGAAGTCATTCTTTTAATTTGCTTAAAGACATTATGTTGTGTTGTGACTGACTGAAATTCAGGTTGACATTCATGGGATGCAAATTTAGAGAGTGGGATAAAACTTGCACTGGAGCCTGTAAGAAGAGCTGCATCAGCAGGAAGCACAGATGGTGGGTGTGACAGAAATAATCGTGACTGTCCATCCATCCATCCATCCATCTTCTTCCGCTTATCCGGAGTCGGGTCGCGGAGGCAGCAGCCTTAGCAAAGCCGCCCAGACTTCCTGATCCGTACACACCTCCCCTAGCTCTTCCAGGGGGACCCCTAGGTGTTCTCAGGCCAGTCTGGAGACATACTCTCTCCAGTGTCCTGGGTCTTCCCCGAGGCCTCTTCCCGGTGGGACGCGCCCAGAACACATCCCCAGGGAGGCGTCCAGGAGGCATCCGGAAAAGATGCCCAAGCCACCTCAACTGGCTCCTTTCGATGTGGAGGAGCAGCGGCTCTACTCTTAGCTCTTCCTGCGTGACTGAGCTCCTCACCCTATCTCTAAGGGAGCGCCCAGCCACCCTGTGGAGGAAACTCATGCTCCTGCTGCAGTCGTAAAGGGAACGGACAGCCCTTAACAGAGGGCCCCGGACCCCATACTCCTGAAGCACCCCACACAGGACGCCAGGACACAGGAACACGGTCGAACGCCTTCTCCAGATCCACAAAACACATGTGGACTGGTTGGGCGAACTCCCATGAGCCCTTGAGCACCTGATGGAGGGTATAGAGCTGGTCCAGTGTGCTGCAAGCGGGACGAAAACCAGACTGCTCCTCCTGAATCCGAGGTTCGACTATCGATTGTATCCTCCTCTCCAGTAATCGAAAAAATAATGGACAGATTAGTCGACTACTAAAATAATCGTTAGTTGCAGCCCTGGTGATGATGCTCGAGATAAAGGTTGGATCATTTCAACACAGAATCTGGTCTTTCCTCTCTGCCCAAGTGATGGTTGAGGTTCATGGACTTCCAGAGAATACTCCAAACGTGACAGGAGCACTGAGAGCAGTGTATCTCTGCACACAAGGACTGCTTCAAAGGGGACAGCTGCCAAATTTAGATCAGGTACACTTTGTGGAGTTTTCATTACAAGATTGAAATTTGTCTCAGCTGTGCCTTTGATAGACTGACATGGCCTTAAGTAGTTGTTGACCATTCATGATGGTGTCTGCTAGACTTGTGTGACCTCACATAACACGATATTTAGTTGCTGAATTCCAGATAAGCAACTTGTTGGCCCTCCGCCGCAAAGGGGCCATTTCTGGGGAGGGTTTTTTTTCGAAGAAGAACACTGCATATTCCAATTTTTCAAGTTGTCTGGAACACAGCGTTAATACGAGTTTTGCATTTCCATCCAGAGAAAAGAATGTTGCTGTGAGCCAGAGGAGTGTGCATCCTCCCTGCATGTCTATCATACGTGGGAGACATATGTACCGTACATTCTGTCTTTAAGTCGCTCTCATCTTTCTGTAGTTTACTCGTCTCCAAAACACCACCGCCATCGTCACCACCCACCCGGCAGAGGCCCTCCAGCTTGTCTAGCGCAGGAATGTGTGCACCATGCCAATGCTGTCATGAACCTTCCCCTGCGGCCTGCTTTGTCCTCATCATTAGAAAGCTGGTGGAATGTTAATATCAACCATGTGGAACACTGAAAGGCCGGGCTGGGGGGTGTACTTATGTTTTACTGCTCTCCTAATGAAGGACACGCTGATAGAATGGAAATAAAAGTGAAAAACAAACCTCAAGAAGTATGTGTTTTTCATTTGTGCCGTCATACTTTTAGAATAACAAAACATCAGTAATGTTCTGCTGCCTCGGGTCCTCTGACTTCTCGCTTTGGTATTTGGTAGCCTGTGTTACTAGCACTGTAAGCCCCAACAAACAGCGCTGAGGAATTTGGCAGGGCAGGCATTCCTCTGGATCTCTCTGGAGGGAGGTGAAAAGGTTTTTATATGTGGAGATTCCTTGAAGGGGCCTAGTGAAAGGGAGGAGCAGTGAGGCTGATTCAAGTCCAGGGAGAGTTTGGGCCGCTTTATTTACGTAACAATTATCAGGGAAAAATGCTCTGGGCTATAAGATGATTAAGTGCTAAATTGATTAGTTTAACGAACTGAAGGCTTTAACCCTATCGGGATAAATGCTACAAGTGCAACTGGTGGTGTGATGCAAAGAGAGATATAATATTTAAGAAACAAAATTATGCTTTTTGGGTTTATCTCTTTTTTTTCAGTGTGTTATAGCTTTTGTGTGTATGTAAAAGCTTTGCTAAGTTGCCAGAACGTTGATTTCTTTCGCTGCTCCTTACCTGCCTGAAACACCTCATTAGGTTTTCCTCCTTCATCCATCTATAACACTGTGTAGTACACTTGTATCACACCTGCTGAGCAGCTAGTTTGGCCTTCAAACCAATGCTGTGTTCTGATCGTCCACTTGTTTCCTCGCTCAGCCACTATGTTGTTTTTGCTGCACTGAAAACTCACTAGCAGATAACGGCAGACAGCTGTTGATGTACTCTGGATGCTTTGCGGATGTAATACTGCTACATATTTATGTGGCGGATATTTAATCAATTACTTATCTTTGTCACATGAACGAATACCAGAACATCTGCACCACATCTGAGAGTGAGAACAAACGTTTCTAATTTATGACATGTACACTTTGTATTTGACATGTCTCTCCACAACATTGTGGTAAAACCTCATAACAAAAATCTGTGCACATTGTTTAAAACATACTTTGACTTCTCTATAGCCACCTGCACGTGTGTGTGATGGGGACCCCAGCTGTGACTTTGTCGTTATTGACTGTTGTTCAGTATATTAACTGTGAATTAATGCTACTCACACAAGGCATCATTGATATCTCTCTGCCAATATTTAGAGTTCTGAGGTTCTGCCCTAAAGAGACAGGAGCCAAAATGGAGCATTTCAGAC